TTTAAATGGTGGTGGGACAATTGGATATCAGTGTGTGAAATATTAAATTTAGAACCTTACTTCATAACCAGGAATACACATTAACCCCAACAGATCAGAGACTTAAACCTTTGTGGCCTCCTCTCCTTTGGTGGCGTGCAAAGACCCACCAAGGAATTTTATGATGCTGTTGTCTCTCTTACCAACACATTCCTGATGTTTTTGGTCATTAGTGTGCCCTCTGCATGTCCCTTTGGAGGAGCATGATCCATTCTTGGGTCTTCCTTGTCCTTTCATGACGTTTTTATTCCAGCCTGTCCCTTCCTTCACTGTCTGCCTTGATAATTCAGGTGTTTCAGTTTCTGTCAGTGATCTTCCAGGCTTCTAGGAACCACTGGTTTGCACTGCCCTTTCAGTTCTTGGCATGGTGTCAAATTCCATCTCCTTGAAGTGTTCTATAAGTTAATAAACTCCTTCTTATCCTATCTTAAGTTCTGGCCTCTCATCAGATACTCTCAAAATCTAGGCCCGTGAGTATTCTTCTGGCTCCTACCAGTACATCCTGACTAATTCTTGTAGCTTCTTTTATAATCTTAACAGGCCCAGCATATTCTATGGTGACTTAATGTAACCCTAGTGAGTTATCAGCGTCAGACTAGAAGAGGGGTTGGAGCCCAGAACACGGAAGTCTTGCAGGGAAGATCATGTGCTCGCTTTTCATGGGGGGAGGGAGAGAGGGTTCCGGTTGGAAAGGCTTTGGGAACTCAGAGGAGTCTGGAGACAAAGATTTTGAGATGTCCATCCCCGACAGACCCCTCCCCCTCCTCAGGTTTTAGGTGTTCTCAAGCAGAAAACCCTGATCTCAGCATAACAAACTTGCCTGGGTTTATCAGTCATCTTTGCAGTTGTCAGCTCTTAACTGTTAAATTTCCAGTTTGAACTTTGGCTTTTTTTCTACTCTACTGCAACAGGAGACAGGAGTCTTTCTTTAAGGACTCTTGACCTTCATGTTTAGTTTTCATTAGTTTGTTTAAGGCCAGTACCTTTTAATTATCTGTAGGACATCAGCCCAACTGGTGATAACTAGTCAATTCTATTGCTTTAAATATGTTGTTCCTCTGTACTTTTCAAATGCCTGAATCATTGTATTGGCCAGGTTGTTCTCTACAGAAACATCCTCTTAAGTCACTCACTGGTGAATTTTTTTTTTTTAACAATTTGGGTACTACCTTGTATCCAGGACTACTGATGCTCACACATGGCCTAGGGTGGGATCCTGAGAAGGATGCGAACCAAATTTTGTACATTTTCCACCTGATATTCAGAACAAAGGGTCTCACTATTTGTGGCGTATCCATATTGTTTCCAAACAGGTTTAGTTTTGAGTAAAATGGAGAAACTATGGGACTAATTATCTTTCTGTAAAACTAGCTGAAATTTAGAATCACACAAACCAGCAAAAACCAATCAACCAAGCGACAAGTGAAATAAAAGAGGTTATAAAGAAAAGGAATCGGAAGAAAAGGTGAATGTTAGGGCCAGCATTGGTAAAGAAAGCAAAATCTGTGGCTCCTTATTACAAAGATCAAAAGTGAAATGGTGGGTGTGGCAAAGAGGGAATTGAAAGAAGTCCCAAATAAATTTTGTCTACCCCAAATCTTGGTATAGTATGACACCTAGAGGCCACGGGAACAGAATTCCTTTGGGTGATTTTTTTTTTTTTTAATATGGCAAGATGCATTTATATAGAAAAAATTATTTAAAGTTTTTATTTCACAGTGGACACTCCTAGATACTTCCCTGTAACCCCCGATTGGTGAGCAGTTTTGTGTATATTCCTTCATTTACATGTGTAGATATGTACTCATCCTCACTCTCTGGAGTTTGGAAATGACAACAGAAATAATAAAGACAGACGAAAGGACACCACTTGAGGGGTGATAGGTTCAGCATTGTCTCGTTTCTAAACATTAAAAAAATATGCTTTTCATTTTTCATCCACTGGTTTGGAAAACTTTTGTAGCCCTGGCTCATTAATACTTGAACGATTCTTCATGAAAAATGATGAACGATTTACTTCAGGGCAGGCTGTACAGATGGTCAATTTAATCTGCATCCCTGAGACTTCTTGTGACTAAATTTTGACATCATGTCATTAAACATTTGTGTATTATTTATATCATATTCTAGAAAACAAAGATTGCTATGTCTTGCTATGTCTTGCCGTCCATCAGTTTTACTGATAGGATTTATCCAACTGGACATGATAGCTCTCACGAAGGAACATGTATCTGAATATATATTTCACATTTGTCTCCTTGGAGACCCATATTTTTTTGTCCTCAAGTGCAATAATGGCATTGTTACAGAACAGAGATGTGGCAGTTGTGGAGACAAACGCTTATGTGACTCAGTTTCTGTAACCTTGTCCAGAGATGTCTTTACCGCTAACTGATGGGGCATATGTATGTGTTTGTGTGTGACCCTTAAGCCTCGTATAAATTGAAATTGTTGGCTATTTTCAAACATCGCTGCAGAACACTCACCCTAGTCGTGTATTTTAAATTGCAGTAAATTTTTGACTTTGAAGTGGTTCCTGGCTCTTAATACATAATGCTTGAACTTGTAGCTATAATGTTTAAACTCTTGACCAGATGAGTAATTACTATATAATCATGGATGAATATAAACATCAGACTCTTAAATTTTCTTTTGACAGTAAGCTATTAAGTATAGCATCTGATGGCTTCTTGAAGGGCTAATTACCCTGCACATTAAATTGTGCTAACTTGACTCTTTAGATTCTCTGTCTTCTGTTATATAATGAGTTTCTACTTGGTGAATTGGTTTGGGACTCCCTAAGAATGCTTAAATTGGGCTGTTATGAACACAGCACCTGAGTTTGAAATCTTCCTTGCGCTGGAGTTGGAGGGTTTCAGGGCAAACCGGAAAGGTCCTGACAGGAGCTGAGAAAGAAACACAGCCAGGATAGGAAAGCAGTGCCATTGCAGAGGGATCCTTAGGAGTTTGCCCTAAAAGGACAGAACTGAGGAAACCATGGCAGGTTCTATGTTCTTCTTTGGTCTAACTGTTGAAACAAATGCTCCTTTAGGGAACCATACATTTGTTAAGATCAGGCTTCCTTTGTATCCCTTATCAATCTGTAATCTTTTCATTGTCTCCCCCCCCCCCCTTTTTTAAACCAGTAAAGGAATAGTAATCCACACTAGTTTATCTCTCTTAATCACAGACTCACAGAGCTAGGACTCTCTGAGCTTTTAATTCCCTCTTAGAGGCCTAACAGAGTGGAAAGTAAACAAAGACCAAATTTGCAACCTTACACATTGCTAATTTCCTCTGATGTCAGAATACTTAAACAGGCAGGACCTGGGAATTATTTGATCAAACCTGCTTTTAATCTAATGCATGCATAAGGGCTGTGTCTGGAATGATCTGCAAAACGGCAGACGTCCCAAGAGAGCTTTATGGAAGGTTTCCTCTTTCAGAAACGGTAGTTTCCTCATTTTAAGCTCTTGAGTTGGCTGTGCTGTTGGAGTAAAGTCATGAAGAGTAGTTTTCCTGCTTTGTAAATTTTATTTGGCCAAGTATTGCTGACCGGATGTGGATAGTTTTCTTTGGCTTTCTGCTTGCTGACTTTTTAATTGGCTACATGCCTTATTATTTTAGCTTTACTAGAAAATGAATTAATAAAAGGTTATTATTGAGGGAAAGAGAGAAAGAGAGAAAGGGCAAAGCATTATCTGATTTCTCACACATTCTTTTATTCTGTATGGTTTAAGAAAGTAAAAACACAAAGAACAAAAGACCCCAAAACATTAAATTATTTAGATTCTGAAAGGCATTTTTCTACAGCAGGAGTTCAGAGAAATTAGTGTCCAGGATTTTTAAGTAAAGAGTGTACTAATTTGGAGATACCTAAGTAATGAAAACTCATTTTTCCCTTTAATTTTACTCACAACTGTGTGGGTATTTAAAGGAGCATATTTTTTTGACAGAAGTAAAGGGATAGCACTTTTATTTACTGCGTGTTTGAAATAAAATTCTACGATTAGTTTTGTAAAATTTTATCCACATAACTAGCTAATAAAGTCCTATTTCAATTTTAAAGACCTTAAAAGACAATGTACTTCGATTTGTCCCAGTAGGATCCGTACTGTTCATATTTCTATTGAGAACAGATTATGTTAAAAAGAAACCCAACATTTAGGAAGGTGTTCAAACGCATTTCAACAGCAAGTAAACAACTCCACTCTTCTACTATGTTTTTCACAACCTGATCATAAATACTGCTCCCCACATAAAGTAATTCAGAAGCCATCGCTTAAAAATAAATTATAAACATTGATGCTTTGTGTAAATACACACTAAGAACAGCATGCCACTAGATCCAACGCGTGACTCCTTGGATGACGATGAATTTCAATGCCTGTTATTTGTCATGCCGAAGCCTGTCGGGTGATGATTCTTTTTTTTGGTGTATCCTTCCAAACATATTTCATCGCACCATGTGCAAGGGAGTTCTTTGGGCGGGCGTGTTGGATCGAGGTGCCCCCTCTCCCCTCCGCTCCTTCCTTTCTTGCCCTGGCGCTCTCGCCGCCTCCTGCCTCCAGCCCCCTTTGCTCCTTTTCGGCTCACGCCCCCCTCCTCTCCCTCCAGCTGGCGACGACTGGGTTGCGCTGCCTCCCAGACCTCGAGGACCTGCTCAGTCAGCTGGGGCCCCCTGCGGACGGCTGCCTCCCTCTCCGCTAGGACCTGCCACTCTGCGCGGAATGGCAGCCGCAGCAGCATCCCCGCCAGCGGCGGTGGCGACTGCAGCCAAGGCCACCGCGGACGCTATTGTTCCCTGGTGTTAAACGCGCTTTCCCTCCTTTTCATCTGAAACGAACAATAGCAGGAAAGAGCTTTGCTTTCTGTACTCCTTGGGAAGACGGTGTGAGGGCAAAGAGAAATTCCCTGCCAACCGCGTTCCGGATCCGGACCCTGGAGCGGCTGCGGGCGGCATGGGGCTGCCAGCGAGGCGCTCTGCGTCCCGGAGCCCGGGCACTGCGGGCCCGCGCCGGGGGGTCCTGCAGCTGCTGCCGCTGCTCCTGCTGCTGCTGCTGCGCCCGGGAGCTTGCGGGGCTGCGGCTCAGGGCGAGGCGGAGGCACCCACCTTGTATCTGTGGAAGACGGGTAAGTGGGACAGAGTTCTCCCTTCTTCGCAGCTTCGCGTCCAGGTCCATGTTACAAAACTGCTGGGCTTCAGGAGGGACCCCTGCGCCCCTTGAGAGCCTGGGTGTCCTGGGACCTTAAGGGGAAAAGTATGACTACTAGGAAGCAAATTAGGTCATGTCCGATGCTATTAGGAAAGAAAAACCTAACAATTGAGAGGCATTAGTGAGTCACCGGAATGATATTTCTCTCGCAGCTCTGTGGTTAAGGAGGACAACCAACACCGCACTTTCATAACGAAGTGCATTTTTAACCTCTGGATTTTTATTCTACTAGGAGTTTCTTGAATATATTTCCAGCAAAGAATGGGCACACAGCTTAGAGCCGGTCTTTATTCTGTCTTGCAGTTTGCTCAATGCCATGATATATGTGGGTATGGAGTTGAATTTGTTAAGTATAGCTTTGTGATATGTGGGACACGTGGAAACAAGCCAAGCCAGGGTAATTCTAACAGTTAAAGGCGAATGGGGCTCCACTGAGCTCACGGAGAGGGCGTAAAGACCACTTCTTAACGAGTGAATTGCGCGATTTTTTTTTCAAAGTGCACAATTGTAAGAATGTTTAGGTTTAAACTTTTCCTGCCTTGAGAATTGTTCTGCTTTGTTTCCAACCAACTAACAAAAGCAGCAACTAATAGTGCCTCAGAACCTCCAGGCAAAGTGCTGACTAGAGGTCCTGGTGGGACAGTGACAGGCAGGAAAACAATACCAAGTGAGGAATTACTCCCTTTTCTCCAGTGGCTCTTCTCCACCCCCCCACCCCCCCACCCCCCAACCCCCCACCCTCGCCAAAGGATGAGGAGAATTCTTCAGCAGATCTGAAACTTGGCATGTTCATAGGAATGAAGTGAGAAGAATTATTCCTATTGCTTAGGGGTAAGGATATATTAAGAGTTTCTTGGCAATGCCTAAACATTAAGAGAAGGCTGCAATAGAAGGGAGGGAAAAGATGTATTTGTTATGGGATTGCAAACAAATTACAGAATGGATCTCTTTCCCGGCTTCAACTGTCTGTAGCCCCCTGCTGCAGACAGATTAGTTTGCTCTACAATTACACTGATATTCTAAAATTTTAAAGAAGTAGCATCTATCTGGCAACTTAGCAGCTTGAACAGCAATTTATTACAAGCCAAAGTACCTAATATGTCTCCACATGTTGCAAGAAAAATCACACACACTTTTAGAAAAGCCATTTGGAACGTTAGCATTAGCCATTCTTGTTAACACTTGGAGTTTAAATATTAGTTGATTGGTGGATGCAGATGAAATCATATTAATTTGTCTCAGCTTAAAACAAAGAGTTGAAGACCTGCTCTGATTTAGCTAAACCCATGATCTTACTTTTCAAAAGCTTGGTCATCACAACAAACAGTAATCAAACTATAATTTACCATTAAATGGTATTATTTGAATGCTTGGTAAAAGCTTCTCAGGTAAGTGTTGGGCGAAATAGTACTTGGCTTGGTTGAAATTTGTGCTATTAAACTAAGAAAAGCCAAGCAGTAATTCAGATCGAAGAAGAGTCTAGGCAGTATTCACTGTGCAGCATCTGAGGTGCCAATATATGTCAACATAAATGTCATGGTGGGAACACAAGCCAATAAACTGTTTAAAATAGTGGAAAACTCTCAGGAGCAAGGGTATGGAGACCTTGGTTCTCGTGCCAGTTCCAGCTCTTGCTAGCTATAGGAAGGTTGGCAGTTCACTTAACTTTTGACCCCTAGTTTTCTCAGCAGCATATAAATGTGATGATACTTTCTTCAGACTATTCACAGTATTATGAAGATTGAATGAGTGAGTTATGAGAAAGTGATCTGTACATTTCAGAGTCGTGTGTGTGCGAATACCAACTAGCATGGTGAGGATGATAAGGACAGCCTTCTGACGGTGGTCCTTGGTTTGGTGGAAAACAGTGAAATAAGTTGGGGAGAAAAATACCGACCTCTTTATTTTTTTTTTCTGGGGGTGAAGGAAAATCTCTTTATTTGTGTAAAGAGATCGAGAGTTGCTATCAGAAGAGCAAGGGAATATTTAAAGGAGAGGGATATACTGGAAATGAAAATGTAGAGATGAAAGAATCATAAGTGTGTATCACTTGATGAAAATAAAAAATCAGGAAGAGAATTGGGAGAGAAAATGAGGTGAGACCATCCAGGATGTCTATTTCAGTAGAATACGCTTGGTCTTCGTACAGCACTATTGGTCAGATCATTGAATTGCAGGGATGTAGTAAAAGGTTTACTGGAAGAGGAGCTAGAGTTCCTAGACAGGAACTCTAACTCTGTGTCTATCTCTAACAAGCTACAGAGCATTGGCAAAGTCATTTAATGACTTTGGTTCTTCGTTTCAGATTTCGTAATATTCATTGGTTAGAAAAGATGATATCTAAGGGCCTATCATTGATGTTTGATATGTTTGATATGTATGTATACATATACACATACCTACACCATAAATATACATATGCATATGTATATATAGTTTATTAACCAGTGTGTATACATGTAATATATATGTATATGATACATAAGGTCTATAAGACATGATATGTGATATCTAATGTATAGAATATGAAAATTTAAAGTGTATATTATATAAAAGTTTTTTCAAGTCAACTCAAAACAAGGAGTTATGAGGACTTATTGTGTGCGTTACAGGAAGTCAGTGAGGTAGAGGCTGACTAGGATATTATCATCCCTTCCTTCAAGAAATTCACAACTGGGGGCACCTGGGTGGCTCAGTGGGTTAAGCCTCTGCCTTTGGCTCAGGTCATGATCTCAGGGTCCTGGGATCGAGTCCCGCATCGGGCTCTCTGCTCAGCAGGGAGCCTGCTTCACCCCCCATCCCCGCTTTCCTCTCTGCCTACTTGTGATCTCTCTCTGTCAAATAAATAAATAAAATCTTTAAAAAAAAAAAAGAAATTCACAACTGAACAATACTGTAAATACCCAACAATTACAACCTGGTGGTGCCATACTCATGAACAAAACACTAGGACAACAGGAATGTTGTGTAGCTGATAAAGGAGGTTGTGGAGAGTTTTAAAGAGGAGTTAATGTTGATTGGGGTTTTGAAGGGCGAGAGCTGAATTTTTTTTTCTGGGAGGCATGGAGGTACACTGGAAACCAAAGGAAGAGAGAAAATGAAAATGAAAGGCACAACAACATTCTTAGGTTTTCAAAGTACTGCAACTCATGTCTAGGATCTTTGGTAGGAGTGAATGGGTATAATGCCAATTTGATGGGTTGGGAAAGATTGTAAGAAAACCTTTAAACTTTGGTAAAGAGTCTGGAGCTTAACCTCTAGGCAAGTGGAAACTGTTGGAAAGCTTTGCGCAGAGGATTGACAAATTCTTTGTCCAAGATGGAGAGAGAAGTAAAGAGGCTGGGAGGTCGGTAAGGAGAGGGACTGAGAGGCAAAGGGGAATAGACGTGAAGAGTGAGTAGAGGCAGGCTGGGGGTCACACTACAGAAAATATTATTCTGTTTTAGGGTGTAGGGAGCTCTTTGCCAAGGAGAGGAGGAACTCATCCCATGAAGATCTCCATCATATCTGCACCCAGTTACTTAAAACCAAGAATGTGAAAGATGAGCAGGTTTCCTGGGGTTAGAGAAGAATATCAATTTAATTTAGCTATGCTAAACTTGAGGTAGTAATCCATTCAGATGAATAAATCTAATGGGGAAACTAGTGATTGGATGGGTAGCTTAGGAGAAAGAGGCTGAAAGTATATGCTTGGAACTGAGCATGGTAGTTGGAGGGATCCTTAAAAGAAGAAAAATACTGAAAAGAAGGGCCAGGATACTTCACAGAGAATATTGAAATTGAAAGGGCCACTGTCAGGGAGAGACGAGTGGAAGAGTCAGAGAAGGTATGGTCATAAAAGGTCTGAGTAAAGTGGCAGTATGCGCTAATGGAACATGTTTTATGAAGGGGATGGTGGCAAAAAGTGAAACACTTCTGAAAGACTGGAAAGGAATTAAGAAATATTTCAGAAATGATCAAGTAAAAGGGAGAATTGATAAGATACCTAACAGTGTTTTGGGAAAGGATGTTTTAACTGGATTGGTGGAGCTATAAACCGATTTGAATAATAAACAAGATAATGGAAAATGTATAATATTGATAAAGTGAAATAACTCAGAGATATTTAAATCAGTACTCTGCTGTTTTTTAATAGTTAAAACTCCAGAATATAAGATATTTAAAATATTTATTAAAATACAAAAGTTAAATGTTTTAACACTTCTTTGTCACATTTATTTGAAAGGTAACTTGTCTTTGTGTGAATAGTTGAAAAACTTATTTCATACACCCAGAGGTAAAGCACTTATTATTGGAAGATAGTTACTGATAAGTGCTTTTCATTCTTTAATATTCTAGAGTATGGAATTTTTCACTAATAATTATGGCTAATAATATTCACCTGGCAATTCTAAATTGAGATTATCAATGCATTGAATAAAATGTGATGGACTAACAGGAGTAGGACAGAAAATAGTGAATACCTCCACTTCTATCAATTTCTGTCACAGACATATTTTCAGAAAGGTCTTAATGAAGTAATTAAATTTATTATTTTTTAATTGATGTATAATTGATGTATAGTGTTACATTAGTTTCAGGTGTATAATATAGTGATTTGACAGATTTATACATTAAGCTATGCTCACCACAATTGTAGCTACCATCTGTCCCATATGCCATTACGATACCATGGACTATACTTCCCATGCTGTACCTTTTATTCTCGTGATGTTTTCATTCCAGAACTAGAAGCCTGTATCTCCCACTCTCCTTCACCATTTTGTCCATACATTTACCCCCTCCCTTCTGGCAACCATCATTTTGTTCTCTGTATTTATGGGTCTGTTTTTGCTTTCTGTTTTTGTTTATTCACTTGTTTGGTTTTTTTAGATTTCACATATAAGTGAAATCATAGGGTATTTGTCTTTATCTGTC